GTTGTACGCCTCTCCACTTTCACGTCAACATGCCATACAGGTATAGAGGTTCATGACTCGCCAGATGCACTGTTTGTGTGGGTTTGTGTATATAATATTACAATACATGCTGCTGTAGTTGTTCTTAGAGGCAGGACCGCTTGTAATTGTGGGTATCTAAATAGCGAGCTTTCCCGCAGGTCTCAATTATGAGACTCGCAATTTACAGCCTTGCTAATGCTTGTGACTGTTCACATGCTTTGAGTAAATTCGAAACATAGCAGTAAAATATGCAAACACATTAACTTATAGACTACGTAGTCTTGCGGTATTTGTGAATCAAAGCCACATGTTGCCATTGCCTAACCAGTGGATAAGCATGTAAATGTTACTAGTAGCCCCAGCCTAAGCTGTACTCATCCACTCTGTAAGCCTAACACTTTGGTCAAGTTTTTTCCTTTTCATTTTGCAGCATTGCTTACCATCTTTATTTGAGTGCTGTCCAGACTCTATGGACATGATCAGATCTAGTCTAAGAGGAGTTGATACAGGTACCTTTTTGATGCATATATATACTCAAACATCTATTAAACTCATTGGAGCCCAATTTATTGTGTTACATACATACGTCGTTATTACGTGCAGTGCAAAAAAAACTGGAATGCTCGTCTTCAGCACTGAAAAACTTACTACTGCATTATCAATGAATCTCCTGGTCGTTGAATGAATCTCCTGCGCGTCTGCGTAGTTCGCGCCCTCGAGTACCAGAAGGCGTGGCACGCTCTCTTTGTGCATTAGCGTTGGTAATAAGAGATAGTCGCAGGAAGGTGGCCAGTTGCAAAGGAGAGCTTTATCCCAGAGAAAGAGAAGGTAAGCGGGTGCACCACTACTCATGCAACGCGTTACATTTCAATTCCGCGTTATTCACGTAAATTGACCCTCGAGGTGCTTTGGGCCCCAATGTTAATTAACCCCCAGCACACATGCGCAGCGAGGGTTACTGTGGTTCGTGAGTGTGTTTGTGTGTGTGTTTGTACGTTCGTCTGTTACAACATTTTCTGCGACTACGCGCACGTGACAATGAAACAGCGATACCAACGAGTTTTTCGCTACACTGGCTTCATTTTAAAATTATGGCGTGAAAATCAAGTGAACAAGCCAATATGCAAATTTGCACAAGCTTACCTCGACCGAGTCCGCTTGCTCTGTGTGCCTTGGAGGCGCAAGAATTCGCAACGGAGGGGGTATATCGACTCTCGCATGCTGTCTACTACTGTAGCCAGACTCTCCGCAAGCTACCAGCGGGAAACCACGAGTAAACGCATACTAATAGCCCAGCCCAACAATTAGTTGTATCGTGCATGCGCAGCTCGCCGAGGGTTTTGCACTTTAGTGCTTTTCATCAATTTTGTGGTGGGGTAATGAAGACAAACCCACGAATATACCATTGATCCACATACATACGTCTCGAAGGACAGCGTACAGTTTGGCATTGCACTGCGTCCATAGACGAGAGATGTAGGGCTGGAATTATTTTTCAACCGTAACAATTTGGTGCAAATCTTTTTAATGCATGCCCAGTATTGTTTTTTTTGCAAGAAGCCTCTCAACATAACTCTTTTGGATTGTCCATTACCATTAATTTCAACCTTAGATTATATGATTTTTGCCTATAAAACAATAAATGGATAAGATGAAATGGTACAAAACATATAGTTTTCTTTTTTTAATGCATGGCCAGTATTTGTTTTGCATATGTAAGAAGCCTTTCAATAACTCTTTTGGATTGCCCATTACACGCAAATTGCCGTATGTCCATTCTGCTCTTGTAGAAAAACTAGCGCCACAAATTTCCCACTCTTCATGTTGAGTTTGTGTGTAATAGGGATGAAAATAATCCACTTTCAAGTGCTTCCATTAACCCTCGGCACACATACGCAGCAACGGTGTAGCGAGAGATTAAATCGAGCGGTACTGCACATGTGTGTAGGTTCGACATATCTAGTGTTTCAACATTCAGTCTCACTTACAGCATTGAATACTGGTGCATTCTTTTTGTGCTAAAAGTTTTACTTTGAGGAACTATCTTTGTTATATCAGCCACTGCAGATGCTGTACTGACCACAGAGCTAGCATGTTTGCGTTGTGCTAAGAGCCACCTTGCTAATTTCTCTTGGGGCCATGGCTATGAGAAAACATTCATTGCAGCAACTCACCACAAAGACGAACAGGTAAAACAGTTGTTGTAATTAACCCTTGGTGAGCATGCACAGGTGTGAGTATATCTGCTATCTAACATTTCACTTCTCGAGGCACTTGCACTCCCACATTCAGCAGCGATGAAGTTCAGAAACATGTAAAGCTTTCTCTAAAAACACTTCGTTCAAGAGTTACAGTACGGCTCACGTCATGCAACCTGAACATAGTATCGAGTGCAAGGCATCGTACATGTGAGTTAAAGGGTGTGCCGCCAAACAATTTTCTTGCAAGCAACAACACTCGAGTAAAAATTCACTCTCCAGAAAATGAGTGCAGTAATGGACTTCTAACATGCTGTATGTGCCATTAATTTGCACTGATCACACGCGTGCAGACCTGTACACTCGGCAGGAGAGGCTGCCAGGAGGAAACGTACACTGTGGGGTAGACCATAGTATTTACCATGCATCTCCATAATAATAATACAGCTACTAATACTAGCGCAGTGAAGACACTCAACTACTAGTAGAGTGTCTGATAGCATGCATTTACATCTACATTACTCAGAATATTTTGAACTTTACTATACTGACTTTAGTGGATAGCTTGTTCTCTCTCACTTACTGTCTCAAGTGGATAGCTAATTCCAATTTTGCATGCTCTACTCCAGAAATTAGGCTTTTTTCTGTGTGCATGTCTGCGCACTAACCAGCCTTTTCTGAATGGTTTCCTCATCATACTAGATACAGCTATCAGCTCTGGGTTTGTTGTGTGAGAGCGTCCGCACAACAGAGCCGCCTCCTCCGTCATCTCTTCCTCTCCTTCTCACCTTCCTCTACCTCAATGGAGCCACCCAGTCTCCTAACTTCAGATACCCCATCATCACCACTGTCAAGAAGGTCTTTTTCGTTCATACATCACCTGAAACATATCGTGGGCTGTAATGATCCCACATGGCCGACGTTAGAGTTAGCCACTGCACAAGTTTGGAGCAGTTACACACATTGCGAGTTTGAGGATCGAAAGAACTGTGTGCATGGAAGAACCTACTAGTTTAGAAGCAATCAAGAAGGCAATGTGATGCTTAATACCGACATGCATTTGTATTGCATTATACCTCTCTCACATGCAGCTATTGGTAAGGATCCGTGACAGTTCATATGCAATGAGGAAACAATACAGCAAAAGTAAGGGGCCTGATCCTCATCCAACAGTAACTTCATATCAGGTATTTATACTTTGTTCATATACACTTATAGGTATTTTAGCCAGTACCCCTGTGCATATAAAGTTACCTTGTTTATCTCAACTGTGTAAATGTGGAATTTAGGTTCTGCAGCTTAAAGGATTTCCAATTGCATGTTTAACAACGTTTTAGGGGGTTATTTGTGTAGCTTGCTGTTAGTTCCATTGAATCAGCCCAATATGCCACTAGGAGCAGTAGCGTATTGCTAGGCACCATATTTACCTGTGTTTCTGCTTGTTACTACAATCAGCCAAGCAGTGTAGCAACCACATTAAGTTTGCTAGGACACTTTGGTGAAATCACCAAAACCACTCTTACTGACTTTTTAGTAGTATACCAAGGCCGCAATTCGGCCTGTTTAATCACGTTAGTGTGCTTTCCCTTTGTAAGGATCTCTACTACCTTTGCATAGCTGTTTATGTGGAGGTAGACCTGGGCAGTTTTTTCATGCTAATTGGGACTGAATCATGAGATTTCCGCACGTACGTAGTACAACTTCTGTTTTTAGGTTTGTTACTTCTATGCAACTCACTCAGTATCTGGGGTTGTAAATCGTCATTGGTGATAGCCCACTTATTGTAGTGAATGTCCTAATGTGTACATTAGAGTGCCCATCTATCACAGTCATTGATATTTTGTGTAGTCTTTCCTCAGGAGCCTGGTTTCTCAGCAGTTCAATGCTCTGCACCCATTCTCCTCCTACCAAAGGCGCCACATGGCCCTCTCAGTTTTGCACTTACTCTCCAGCGTCTTTCCTCTGTCCTCCAATGATACTCCACCAGTTGGCCACAAAAGTAGTGTTGATGAAGGGTGTCTCACCAAAGAAACTTTTATTGGTCCAGTGTTTGAGTTTCCAAAAGCAGTGTCAGTGAACCAGGCTAGGAGATTAGTGTACTCTCTCAGAGACTCATATGATGCCAACAGAGCACTAGTGCTGGAGTTGCTGGCTTGTTTTCCTCTCGATTCTCACGGCCTAAAGGTGCGTTTTATCACTTTATTCAATAACTTCTGTTTCAACTTCCTCTTCTTCATAGGACCAGCCTTATCTTAACTATTTGAATGCATCATTCTACGCATGTATGTGCAGTCCTAAGGCTGTGGACTGCACTACAGCTTCTTACCTACTGCGGTTACTGCTCCGAGCTGAGTCCACACAGTTCAACTCTTTTCTGCAGGACCGTATACTAGGTGCGTATTAGTTGTTGCATATATATTCAAAATATTATAGTTGTTGTGATGTACAGGTGCTGAACACCATTCACAAAATACCTCTGACATGCTGGAAAATCTTGATGATAATTCCCCTTACTGGGTCGCTGTGTCTCGACTCCTGTTGATCTTGCAAAGCCAGCTGAAGGAGGCAAAAGAAGACCTTCTTGCTGCCACAGTCCAGAACCCTCTGTATGGTGTGATGCAAAGCGTCAGGGCTGCACTGGAGGAGGCTAAGGAAATGTATAAATGGCCATGTGTGTTGAAGAACATGAGATTAATCGTTGATTGTATAAACAGAAAACAATCTGGACATGCATGCAGGTGTATGTGTATAGTAGATGAAAACCAGCTACTGACGTGTAGGAATGAACCATGTGACCTAGTGGTCCAAATGGTGTGATTTTTTCGTACATCTTACCAACTGTAGTTTCCATCAAAAAGCACTAGTGAAGAATGGTCACCAAACCCTTCGATCAACCCGACACAATCATTCCTATACATAGTTCTCCACACCAACCTCAGTAGAGCTGTGCGTGCATGCGGATGTTTTCAGACATAAAAGCATAAGAGGGCCATTGGTTTGTAAGCAGAGAATGGTGAATGTCGCCAACAAACAGCAAGACAGCTGTCAAAAAAGTGAACTTTTACAAAACAGTGCTCCGTGTGTGGAAGTCACTAGCGCTTGGCTGTAATTGTTGGTACCCACTGAAATTACGACATATGACATTGTTGGTACCCACTGAAATTATGACATATGACATTGTTGGTAGCTACCCACTGAAATTATGACATACGACATTGTTGGTACACACTGAAATTACGTACATATGATACACTAGAGAGAATGCAGCAAATTTTTTTGGCGAGAAAACGTGAGTAGTTCAAGTGCACTGTGATTAAATTAGATTGAGGATCCTTGGTATGTCATACACATTGACTGGCATTCAATATCACCTAAAACAATGGCCCAATGCGCTGTCTTAGTGTACAGCATGTTATATAACGCAAAAGTGTCCTTTTCAGAATAGGGAGATAAAAATTAGAGAACATTAACACTGTTTTAGACTATGCTTACTTTATCCTGCAGGTCATATGATAAAGAGATTTGTAGAGTCACCATAGCAAAGACCATTGAGCTCTGTTCAGAGGTGGCCACTCTAGCATCACCTGTAGTGTGCAACAGCAGTCCCGAGGGTTTTCTCCCTGGAGCTCAGGTTTTTTTTACACACGTTTAAGTAAAGCACACCGTATTGCAGGGTTGAGAGGGATTTATTCTAATTCGTGACCTGAGTAGTTGTACACACGTTGCTAAAGTGGGTATGTAATCTGGCAAAATAGCAGCCTGATGCTCACCTAAGTACTAATGAAGGGTGCTGTAATTGTGTACATGACTCCCTGCTGGTTCCGACCATTCCAAAGTGGCCTGTCCACCTTTCCAGTTCATCTCTGCTCCCTCTGTTTAGGAGTAGGTCTGTCCCTCCTGCAGAGACATGTTCCTGTAATAGAGCGTGCCCATGGGAGTCTCTGTGGCAGCATTCATCTTCTCGATCAGTTAGGAGAGGGCCAGGGCTGACACACTACATATCTTGGCCACCCAATCTCAAGCTCTTAGCAGGTATTTTGCTCCAAAAGTGCTTGGTCTTCATTGACTGGTTGAGCCTTTTGAGTTTTATCACAGGTCTCTGGCTGCCAGCCTTCTTTGGGACCTAAAACATTTTGAAAGCCCTCTACCTCCTCTCCCAATTGGTTGTTACTTTATTTAAGACTATCCAAAATATGCTTAATCATCGCTTTTCCTTATTTAACTCCTCTGCCTATCCTGACTCCCGTTACTCCCTGCACTCCCTTGGCCCCCCTCACTCCTTTGACTCCCTAGACTGCTCTTACTCTCTTGCTCCTTGCCTACTTGAGCACCATAGTCTTTACTAGTGTACATTACCAAATCTGGAAAAATGGCTGTCAACATTCAAAAAATGATACAAGTGTAACTGCAATTGCTCTGTGGAGTTCCTCGTGGAATTACTCTCTGTGCTCATGGTGGCATAATCTTCACTTGCTGTGTAGCAACAGTCACCAGTGAAAACCAGTGTCCTGTTTTTACACTGTGCAGGCGCTGCTAATAATTTAGGTTCTTAGTTGTAGCGATCGAAAGGGTAAATTTGTGTATACATGCGCGGATTGGAATATTGATGAAATATTAGATCATGGATGATTGAAGTAAAGAAGAGTAAATAGTTGCCATGTTCGGCTTTCCAGATCTTCGATGATTCTTATGATTTGTGCAACGTGCCATCATCATCATCATAAAGATTAACAGTATCATCGTCCATGTTCACCCCGACGTCCATTGGAACAATGTTTATGTCCAAATAGGACACAATTTTATCATCTTGATCTGTGGATGTCTTTCCAACATAAGAAACATGCAACCAACATAATATAGACAAAACTTATGTTCGACATCCATTGCAGCCACCTTGTAATTAGCTCAAGTGCGGCAGTTGGAGCAACACGTTTTGTGCATTCTGAATCCACAGGATCTGTACTTTTAAACTGCTTGGCAGTTGTTCTTGAGTCCTGATGATCATCATCTGTAGCCTTAGTAGCTTGGTAACAAACCGGCTGTTCATGAAAAAATCACATGAAGTATATACCTGACTCCACTTAACACACACAATTACAATCGGTAGTTGTTCAAAAGCAATAATGGTCTCGAAATACGCAAAATTGGCTGCCATCATAATTATATGGTCTCAGGTATGTAGCTAGAGAAAAGGCAACACTTCACGCAGGTACGTAGTTGTGTTTGCTAACATATGGTTGCCTTGCCAACATATTGATTGGGAGTAAAGGGAATAAGAGGAGTTGAGGGAGTAGGAAAGGGGGTATGAAGGAAGGGTGCTGATTCAGCATGTTTCTGGTAGTCGTAAATGTAGCAACAACCCACGATTTGATATTGTCTGTATGTATGTCAAGCATGCCCTGTATCTCTGCTTGCATTCACTCGTCTGTGAAGATGAGGGAGGTTTCTAGGTTGGTATGGCTGGAACTCTATCCTGAAGTCGCCTAGTACTCGGTCATCTTGACTGATCATCCGCCAGTTTGACCTGCAAAGGGGGAAACCCTGCGCGCCCAACTCCGTGGCCATGTCCTGCAAAGACTGTGCGGCACTTAATTGAGCAGGGTTCAGCATATTAAATGACATTACAACAGGCATGTGAGGGAGGATGTGCACTGACTCAAGCAAACAGCCCTCTAGATGTGGCTGCTCAGGTAGCTCTACTGTTGGGTCTAGTTGTTGCTGCATCCTCCTTTGTTGTTTTTGGGGAAGGCGCCCCCGCCATTACCAGCCTGGTGGGGGAGTGATGGTGAAGAAACCTGTAAGCGGTTAAAGCTGGTTGGTGCTTAGAGTTTTCGTTGGATCCTAACTGAGTCCACATGATTCTTGCCTATCTTTCTGAAATTGTTCCCGAACAGGAGCGGGGGCGACCATCGCTATCTGGTCTAGTCATCGCTGATCATGTGGTGGTTGTAGTGGCGGAAAATTATTCCAGCACACACTCCAAGGACAGCTGTGTTTGAGACCCAGTGGGTTCTCTTACTACCTTGTGTACAAGGCTGTGGGTCTCCCAATTTGCTGTGCTTTGGCTCACGCTTTGAGCAGTGCAAACATTGTGAGACATGTCTCCATTTGTTAAGGTACAGGAAAAAGTGTTTAGTGCCTTTGCTGTTGATGCACACAACATAGAGTTAGTGTGTCTTGCGCATAGGAGCCTCTTTTCACATCTGCTCTTAGGATCTGGAGCACAATAATTTCTGTGTGCCATGGTTTGCTTGGCAATAGTTGAGTGCACCCTAGACAAGGACTCTTGCAATCTTCTCCCCTTTTTAGGAAGGAATTAACAATTAACCATTGTAACTGCTGTGTTATTAAAGCTAACAATTCACAGACACTGCTGGAGTATTGTACTGGGGTCTTTGTTGTATGATATTCAGCAGTCTCATCTGTTCTGCGCTTAAGGAGAGGGGAGGGGGGAGGGGGTGTTTGATCGCTCGGATGGTGTCAGTATGATGGTTGAAGATGAAGAAGCTAATTGGCGTTGGAGCCCATGTATTTGGCCAACTACGTTATGCTTCTGCCTGTTCAGCGTTCTGTATTCTAGACGTCCTTTTTCATAGTGTTTGAGTCTCTCCAGAATTCTTTTGCACAAGCGACAGTAAGGTACAGGACAGTAGTGTTGCGTTTTATTCTAACATCAACAGGAGATGCAGATTTTCAGCACTGTGCAAAAGACGATTGGTCTTTTGTTGAGTTTCGCTTCTGCAAAGAATTTAGTCTGCGGTGTTAGCTGTGCACTGAAAGCTGGCCATGGACCAAAGAACCAAAGCATGATATATGTAAACTTGGCTTCTTATATGCTTACTTGGAGATACTTTTCAAGCATGCCAGAAGGGCTTTTGATTGACCGTACCAATAGTTATTTGAGCTGCAATATCTCGAGCTGCACCAGACATTACTGTAACTGCGACATCTTACATATCATCAAAGTCTTTCCAAAGTGGGTTAATCATGATCCTTTCTTTACATCAGTTAATTGTGCACGAATGTTGTTTTGTTTTTCCACGAACAACGTTACCATTTGGTAGCAGCGAACTCTAATGGCAGCAGCACTCACACTCTTTCTGCCGGCGTAACTGCTCGTTACACAACAACTTGGCATATTTTATTATACTGATGAAATTCCACTGCATCACGGAATGTTGGCAGTAATGACCAGACCTTCCCTTCCCCCGGAATGTCGGGGCTTATGTTGGCCCACAGGCATGTAGTCTCAATATACTCAAAGATACTTTTGTTGAAATACGTCAGAAGGGCATCTATGGTTGAACCTTTTGTTGACCTTACCAATAGTTTGTAAACCTTAACTCTACAGCTCGAGCTGCACAAGACATTACTGTAACTGTGACGTCACACTTCTCATAGGCCACCACCAGTTCCTCTCCCTCCTCGACTACCATCAGGATCAGTCGGCTGGGGTTTTATTAATTTTTCTTGGCTGTCTCCATTGCTCTCGCTGTGCTAAGGGGTCAGTTTCTGCAAGTGGTGTCCTCTAAATTCTCGTGTCCACAGATAAGCTGGTCACGCAGCATCTCTTGTCTCATCTCTCCGAATTTGCAGATCAGTTTGTACCACGTGCATTGAAAAGTATTGCCCTATTTTTCTTGGTTGACTTGACGTCATTCACCACAAAGAACAGCTCCAACCCTGATTATCTTTCCTGTGGCAGTAAGTGTTCGGACAGCGAACCTTGTGTGCCGCCATTGTAGTTCATCCTCGTCGAAGAACCTTCAGTCAATACCTCAATGAATCTCGTGAGAATCAGCTTGTACCGTCTCCATGACCTAAAGTACCTCACAAAACCTCTGCAGACACAAAATATCGTTGTATGTAGATTGCACTCTCTTTATGCTTCGTACAATTGGTCAGTCAACTGGCGATGATACATCGCACACCATGTGCTTTTAACTCACCTAACCTTGTAGAATAGCCCCCAGTCTCACCCCAGGTCACCTACACATTCATCCCTTAGCATTGGCAGAGCCCATTTGGGATGTTGGCCAAAGGACTGGGTCTTGTCGGGCAGGTGGATGTGTCAGGGATATTTCCCTCTTGGAAGTGGAGCCGCCTCATTAGGCTCCACTCCTGCCCAAGGAGTGGGAGGGGGTTCGAACCTTCCGCACCCCCCAAACGCACACACCCTCAACAAATAACAAGTGGAGCACACTACATTGACAGTAACAGACACTATATAGCTATGACCGAGTGTTCGCTACAGTCCATGCATTGGGCTAACGGATTAGAGTACTGCGCTAGGTGCTCCTGGGGGACTCTGATGTAGCGCAAGAAAGCTGGGCTCGACCAGCGGCCGATGGCTTGTATTGCCGAGTCCTGGCGCTGATGAATACCTCCGGCGTGGTGCCGATGAATACCTCCTTCCCCGACCATATTGATCTGTCTTTGATCGCTTGAGGAAGACGCGTAGGACCTGGTTGTCCCCTGGGATGGACACGTCACCCATCGCCAGGTGCACTCTCGGGTCGAAAGCTGACGCGCTGGGGGCCGTAATCTCGCCAGCGCGAAAGAAGCCGAAAACAGACAGCGGCAGCAGCAAGCACTCCTCGTAGCTCGGAGGAGATTGAGCCGGGGAGCGTA